GGTACCAACTAAGTGTCCATCAATGGATGAATGGATTTTTTAACTGTGGTACAAAACCGGTTGTGGGGGCTCAAACCTGCAATCCCAGCACTTTGGGAAACCAAGCGGAGAAGATAGCTTGAGGCCAGGAGTTCAAGATCAGCCTGGTCAACATAGAGAGAACCCATCTCTACAAAAACTTTAAAAAAAAAAAAAAAAAAGCTGGGCACAGTGGTGCACACCTCTAACTCCCAGCTACTCAGGTGGCCGAGGCAGGAGGCTTGCTTGAGCTCAGGAGTTCAAGGCTACAGTGAGCCATAATTGCACCCCTGTACTCCAGCCTGATGACAGAGCAGGACTCCATCTCAAAGAAAAAAAAAAAAAAAGTAGTGTCTATACACTATGGAAGACTCTTCAGCCATAAAAATAAAATAAAATCCTGCCATTTGCAGCAAGATGGATGAACCTGGAGTATGTTATGGTGGCTTTTTTGTTTGTTTGTTTTCTTTTGTCTTTGTTTTTGTTCTTGTGTGTGACAGGGTCTGGTTCTTTTGCCCAGGCTGGAATGCAGTAACTTCAGCTCGCAGCAGCCTCCACCTCCCGGGCTCAAGCCATCCTCCCACCTTAGCCTCCCAAGTAGCTGGGACTACAGGCCCATGCCACCACACCCAGCAATTTTAGTGCTTTTTTTTTTTTTTTTTGTATAGGCGAGGTTTTGCCATGTTACCCAGACTGGCCTCAAAGTCCTGAGCTCAAGCGATCCACTCATCTCAGGCTCTCAAAGTACTGGGATTATGGGCATCAGCCATCGCCCCTGGAGTAAGTTATGTTAAATGAAATAAGGTCCAGGCACAGAAAGACAAATACCACATAACCTCACTCAGGTGTCGATCTTAAAAAGTTGATTTCATGGAAATAGAGTAGAATGCTGCTTTCAGAGGCAGGGGTTGTTAGGGGGGATGAGAGATCTCGGTCAGAGGATGCATAATTACAGACAGGAGGAATAAATATCAAGAGACCCATTATACAGTAAGGGGATGTAGTTCATGACAATATATTGTACTCTTGAAAATGCAGAGTGGCTGTTCTGTGCTATCACCGAAAAAATGGAAACTATGTGAGGTCATTCATTTGTTAATTAGTTAGATTTAATCATAACATAATGTATACATACTTCGAAACATGTTGTACATGATAAAAACAGAGAACGTTATCCATCCATTTAGAAAAAGAAATTTTTTTTTGAGACAGAGTCTTGCTCCATCACCCATGCTGGAGTGCAGTGGTGCAATCTTGGCTCACTGCAACCTCTGCCTCCCAGGTTTAAGCAAGCACATCCGGCTTATTTTTGTATTTTTAGTAGAGATGGGGTTTCTCTATGTTGGCCAGGCTGGTCTCAAACTCCTGACCTCAAATAATCCACCTGCCTCAATCTCCTAACATGCTGGAATTATAGGCATGAGCCACCATGCCCGGCTCATTTAAAATTTTTTTAATGGGGTAATCATTCCTTTATGCTATGCCTGTTAAAATAAAATTTTGGAGAGGGAAAAGAAGAGTCCTCCAGATAGATTAAAAGTGGGCAGGGCGAGGTGGCTCACGCCTGTAATCCCAACACTTCAGGTGGCTGAGGCCGGTGGGTCACCTGAGGTCAGGAGTTTGAGACCAGCCTGGCCAACATGGTGAAACCCCATCTCTACTAAAAATATAAAAATTAGCCGGGTGGGCCGGGCGTGGTGGCTCAAGCCTGTAATCCCAGCACTTTGGGAGGCCGAGGCGGGTGGATCACGAGGTCGAGAGATCGAGACCATCCTGGTCAACATGGTGAAACCCCGTCTCTACTAAAAATACAAAAAATTAGCTGGGCATGGTGGCGCGTGCCTGTAATCCCAGCTACTCAGGAGGCTGAGGCAGGAGAATTGCCTGAAGCCAGGAGGCAGAGGTTGCGGTGAGCCGAGATCGCGCCATTGCACTCCAGCCTGGGTAACAAGAGCGAAACTCCGTCTCAAAACTCCGTCTCAAAAAAAAAAAAAAAAATTAGCCGGGTGTGGTGGTGGGCACCTCTGATCACAGCTACTCAGGAGGCTGAGTCAAGAGAATCACTTGAATCAGGGCAGCCAAGGCTGCAGTGAGCCAAGATCATACTACTGCACTCCAGCCTGGGCAACAGAGTAAGACTCTGTCTCAAAAAAGAAAAAAAAAGAAAGAAAGAAAAGAAGCAGCCCCATCACCATTTCTGGAATAAAAAAAGCTTCTCAGTCCCACTGAGAGCTGACCTGGGCCAGGCTAGACCCGAGACTGGGTGGAGGTTCCAGACTTCCCAGGACCCCTGCTCACCTCCCATGAGGGCACCAGTGGATCCCTGCTAGCTCAGGAATGTGAGACTCAGTGTCCAGTATAGACTGACATCTTGGATGGGGAAAGGAAAAGAGCCCTCCAATGGGAGAGACAAGGACTGAATCGGGAGAGGAAAGCCTTTCTGGCACCGTGAGACTGGCACTCAGCAGTTCTCCCGGCCCCAAGCATGGCAGAAGCTGGTCACTTCATTCAATCGCCCACTCACTTGCTGGGTATCCAGGGGCAAGTCGGAGCCAGAGTCCCTGGATTCCAATGCTGACTGTCTACAGTGCCGCAGGACACTGAAAAGGGCCCCCAACCACACAAAGTGGGGCTTGTAGATTATCTAAGACCCCTTCTTCTGTTCCCAGTTTAGTCCCTATTAAAGACAGTTTGGTAGGGTTTGCTTTGTTTTTGTTTTTTGTTTTGGGTTTTTGTTTTGTTTTGTTTTGAGACCACTCTGTCGCCCAGGCTGGAGTGTAGTGACACCATCTCGGCTTACTGCAACCTCCACCTCCTGGGTTCAAGTGATTCTTCTGCCTCAGCCTCCCAAGTAGCTGGGATGACAGGCATGTACCACCACGCCCAGATAATTTTCGTATTTTTGATAGAGAGGGGATTTCACCATGTTGGCCAGGCTGGTCTCGAACTGCTGGCCTCAACTGGATCTTGGGAGGCCAAGATCTGCCCATCTTGGCCTCCCAAAGTGCTGGGATTACGGGTGTCAGCCACCAAGCCCAGCTTGGTGAGGTTTTTTTGTTTGTTTTTGTTTTGAGACAAGGTCTCACTCTGTCATCCAGGCTAGAGTGCAGTGACGTGATCTTGGCTTACTGCAGCCTCCACCTCCCAGGTGGGCTCAAGTGATCCTCCCACCTCAGCCTTCCGAGTAGCTGGGTCTGCAGGCACACACCACCATGTTCGGCTAAATTTTTTTGTATTTTTGGTAGAATCAGGGTTTCACCATGTTGGCCAAGCTGGTCTCAAACTCTTGAGCTCAAGCGATCCACCCGCCTCAGCCTCCCAAAGTGCTGGGATGACAGGGGTAAGCCACCATGCCTGGCCACCGATTGTTTGTTTGTTTGCTTGATTTTCATTAAAAACAGTTTTGGTACCAAACCAGAAAACATTCTCAAACCCTCTTGTATTTCAGAAGAACTAAGGAACTCAAGAGAAATCCAAAGAGATCTGCCGTCCAGGCAATGGTGCAGAGGTGGCAATCAAGGCCAGAGTGTTCTTAGCTGACAGGAGGCCACCTATGTCCTCCAGGGCCCAACATCCACTCCCAACACCCACTTCCACCCCCAGACTCAACAGAGGCAGGGCAAGGAAGCCAAATGCCAGCTGGGCTCGGACTCGGGCTATGTGGTCAGAGTTCCACTTCTGTACCTTCATCTGGCTGAGCCTCAGGTTCCTTAAGAGCTCAGACTCTGTGGCCTAAACTGCTGAGTTCAAATCCCAGCTCTGCCACTTCCTACCAGTGTAAGCTTGGGCAAGTCACTTGCCCTCTGTGAGATTCCTAATCTGGGATACGGGAATGATGACTGTATCTACCTCATCGAGAACTGAGTGAGTTAATGTATGCAAAGAGCATGGCATGGTGCCTAGCATGGTCAGAGCTGTGTAAAGATTTGTTACGATTGCCGGGCGCGGTGGCTCAAGCCTGTAATCCCAGCACTTTGGGAGGCCGAGGCGGGTGGATCACAAGGTCGAGAGATCGAGACCAACCTGGTCAACATGGTGAAACCCCATCTCTACTAAAAATACAAAAAATTAGCTGGGCATGGTGGTGCGTGCCTGTAATCCCAGCTACTCAGGAGGCTGAGGCAGGAGAATTGCCTGAACCCAGGAGGCGGAGGTTGCGGTGAGCCGAGATCGTGCCATTGCACTCCAGCCTGGGTAACAAGAGCGAAACTCCGTCTCAAAAAAAAAAAAAAAAAAAAAAAAAAAAGATTTGTTATGATTGCTATCTCTGTAAAACGGTGTTAATGATAGGACCCTCCCCCAGCGCCTTGCCCCCAGTTACTAATGAGAATTAATGGGGGAAAAGTCATAAAGGGTTAAATATAACGGGGCACAAGAGAAGATACGAGCGGCCCCACGCACCTGGGAGACACACTGCCCTGTGCTCAGGTGACAAAAGTAAGGGGCCCTGCTACTCAGATCCCACCTTGGCCTCGATGCTGAAAAGCTGCCTGTCCCCATTCATTCATTAAGCATTCCCTGGCCTCTGGCTGCACCTGTCCCTGTGCTGGGTATACCAAGCCAGCCTCGTGTTGCTCCCTGGCTGGTGGGAGGGATATATGTGCCAGTCTAGCTCACGACCCAGTGTGAAAAGAGTCTAACACAGTGCCACGAGAAATCTGGGAAGGACTTGCAGAGGAGGCAGTGCCTGAGCTGAGACCTGATGCCTCAGAAGGAACTTGCCGGGGAGACAAGTGTGAGGAGGTGCAGAAGGGCTGCGGGTAACTGGCAGAAGACACAGCAAGTACAACAGCCCGGAGGAGAGAACAAAGGCAGGACACGGAGGCCGAGGAGAGGAGCTCACGATGGCTGAGGCAGAGGCCGCAGAGGGGTGGGGATGCTGGAAGGAAAAGGGAGGCGTGGGCAGGGGCCAGAGTGCCAACAAGAATGTGAAAGTCATCCTCAGGTAGCTGTCTGAGCAGGTGAGGAAGCAGCACACATACCTTTTAGAAGCATCCCTCCAGTGTGGAGAGCGGACTGAAGGGGGCTGGACATGGGATGGGGAAACCAGAGGATGCTGAGTTGAGCAGTGGCTGTGCAGACGGAGGGAGAGGATGGATAAGACATGTATTTGTTCCAGCCCCTTTAATAAAAGGCTTTTCCTGAAAACATTCTCAGAGGTCAGCCACACTACACCCGTTACAGCCTCTGCCAGTCTGTCCCGAGCCCATCTCCCTTGGCCCCTTCCATTGCCAGGCACTGCTGAGTTCTTGGGTCTCAGAACCTAATCTCAGCTCCAAAGTGCAGGGAAAACTTGTTTTCAAGGTCACCTTGCAGGACAGCTTTCCACAGCCCTCATGTGATCCCGCGCTTGCTCTCCCAAAGAGGTTCCGCTCCCCGAAAACGCCCACCTCGCCCCACCACACATACTCACACGCACACCTCACACCCTATCACTCCCACCAGCTCTGGCTTTGGGCTCCTGAGCGCTCAGCATGAAGCACCGCAAGGCCAGGGAGCTCAGACATCCCCCAGAAACATGCACAGAACTCCGCAGGGAGAAACATAACACCCGCAGGATAGAATTCCAAAGCCCAACACTTGCTGAAGGTGATTCCACTCAACACAGCCAGCCCTCCGGGGATCTGACAGCTCGTGGGGCTTATCTGGGGATGGCTGCTGGTAATAAAGCAGCCCAGGGGCTCTGCCATTTCTCCTTCCAAAGAGAGCTAGAAAACGGCCCGTGGAGAGTGTGAGGAGTTGCAGAGCGTCTGAGTTAAAATGGAAACGTCAATTTCTTTCTGGGTGCCGGGACTCCAGAGCCCTCCCGCTGCCCCAGCCCACCCTCCATACCCGTCGTAGGTGATTTCCAACATTCTGGATCATCGCACCACGCAGCCAGGGAAAGCAGCGCCCTCTCGAAGACACACGCTGGTCACCTGAGCAACTGCCAGGACTGGCTCCAAATAAAGCCTCTGGGCCTCTCCTGCTCCTCCTCCTCAGCTCCTGCCCGCCCTCCAGAGCCAGCTGTTATCACCCTGCTCCTGCCTCTCTTCAGACCGCCCTCTGCCCCCCTCCTCCTAGGAGCCCTGCACAGAAAGCTCCAGTGCCCGCCTAGCGGAGAGGAAGGACGGGGCTGCCAGCTAGGCCACAGCCACGTCAACGGGCCTGTGCCCGCCCACTGGGCACCCAGCCCCAGCCAAACTCCAGGCACCCCAATCCCAGAGCCCGTCATCCTGCCAACAGTGTCTCTTGGTTCTGCGATCACTTCCAGGGAAGGGGGTTGGGGGGATCCAGGTCCCCGATCCCAGCCAGCTGACATGCGAAACAGGCAAAACAGCCATGAGGCTGTCCATCCACAAGGGGTTAGCTAGAAGGTGGCAGGAGGCCAAGAGCTGCCAGCAACCTCTCGGAGAGATACCAGACCCACCTGCTAGGACTCCACCACTAGGAGCATGACCCACCAGCTCCTCAGCAACAGGCCACAGGCATTCAGCAGTTGCTAGTGGGGGACAGGTCATGCCCCTCACTTCCTTTAAATAGGCAGTGCGACTTTTCTAAAAGTGGCACCTGCCAAATTCCCCGATGGCCACGCAGGCCCACTCCAGCTTCTCTCCAGCCATCACCAACGGAGAGACCACCAGGGTTTTTCCTTCTCCCTCTGCCTTCTGCCCAGAGGCTTGATCAGGAGGTCTTGACACTCACGTTGGACTTAGGACAGGACAGTCAGTGCTTGGTGGCTAAGGAAAGCAGGAGGGTGGGGGTGGGGGGTGCGGGGAAAGGGCTCAGGCATGGGGGCCGAGATGGACAACTAGATGGAAAATAATAGCATGCACCCCATAGTAACCAAGCAACTGCAGTGTGCCTGGCCTCGGGCTGGTCCTCCTCCAACCCCACAGGGAAGATTCCTTAGGAAGGGTAGATGGCAGGTCCCAGGTGGCACAGCCAGTGAGCGCACAGCCCGGGTGGGACAGGCCAGCTGGGTTCCAAGGCCACGGCCAACCCTCCATCCTCGGGGCCTCTTGCTCATTCGCCTCAGATCTAATCCTGCTTCCCCCGGGCCTGTCTTGCCTAAGAGGCCTGGGTTCTCCTTTCACTAATGTACCATGTGACTCTAGGCAAGTTCCCTTCTTTCTCTGGGCCTCCCTGCTCCACCAGTCAAGGACTCCAATCATGTCCATCCCCGTGAGCTCAGGCCTTGCCCTCAAATAGCTTGTCAGTGGTCAGCCATTCTGTGTCTACAAATGAGAAATTAAAGTCACACCTTAAAGACTGCAGGATGGCCCATGGATGGCTCTGAGGATTGGGGCAATCCTGGAGGCTTCCTGGAGAAGGTAGTGCTAGAGCTGGCCTGAAGACTGAATGGGCTTGGATCGGCTGAGAAAAGGGGCAAGGTGGAAGGCCTGACAGGCACAGAACAGGAGGCAGTCACAGGCCATGAGGAGCATCATCCTGCAAGAAAGCTGTGAACCTGTCATGGAGGGCTCAAATGCCAGACACTAGGGTTTGGGCATCTAGGAGCCTCTGAGAATGACAGCATGCTGGGCATGCTCGATGATGAAAGCCACGTGAGGTAGACAGAACAGGTGTCATGGGACTTCCCTGGATGGTAAGAAAGCTAGCCCAAAGAGAGGCAGCTCACTTTACTGGGTCCCAAGATAACTTGACAGGCAGCCAGGCAATTTCAGAATCCTCCTTATGCAGAAGGAGGAGGAATGAAAACCCAGAGAGCTCCTGACCCTCAAACCTACCCTCTCTCCAGACAACTACAATGTCCCAGACTCACCAGATTCGGTTCACCCCAGCATCTTACAGATGGCTAAACTGAGGCCCGGAGGAAAGTGACTTCCCAAAGACACACAGTGAGGAAGCTGGCTAGAATCACACTCCTGACCTCAAGTCCAGAGTCCTGTCCATCCCACACACAGCAAGGCATGACATGAGACAGACTTCAGTTAGACTTATGAGAGGACTTCCAGAAAGGCTGAATCAATCTTAGTGTCAGGAACAAGCAGCAGAGAGCTAGATCTTTCAACAGGGCCCCCTCCAGCCCGCAAAGGCCCCTCTCCTCTCTGTGCTGTCTGTTACAGAGCTCGCTCCTGTGTCACCACAACCGCTCTGTGCAGTCTGTCACTCCCGGGAATGTTCCCATGGGTGTCTGCTTCCCCTTTCCAGTTTACCCAGGAGTCTCCCACGGGCTTGGACCACATCTTACTCATCTCTGTGCCCCTTCCCCTCCACCCTGCAGACTTGGACGCTATGTGCAGGAAGCATGAAACACCCATGGCTGGATCCCAGTCCTGGAACGGTAGACCAAGAAGAGGTCTGTGGTTCTCAAACTTGAGCCTGCACCAGCATCACCTGGAGGGCTTGTTAAAATACAAATTGCTAGAGGCCCTGTCCCCAGAGTTTTTGATTCCGTAGAACTGAAGTAGCACCCAAGAATTTGCATTTCTAACAAGACCCCAGAGGATGCCAATGCCGCTGGTCCAGGCACTGCACTTGGAGAACCAGGAAGCTAGGCCACCCTCCCATTTTACACCTGGGGAGAATGAGGCCCAGAGATTTTTTTTTTTTTTTTTTTTTGAGACGGAGTTTCGCTCTTGTTACCCAGGCTGGAGTGCAATGGCGCGATCTCGGCTCACCGCAAACTCCGCCTCCTAAGTTCAGGCAATTCTCCTGCCTCAGCCTCCTGAGTAGCTGGGATTATAGGCACGCGCCACCATGCCCAGCTAATTTTTTGTATTTTTAGTAGAGACGGGGTTTCACCATGTTGACTGGGATGGTCTCGATCTCTTGACCTCGTGATCCACCCGCCTCGGCCTCCCAAAGTGCTGGGATTACAGTCTTGAGCCACCGCGCCCGGCCCAAGATTTTTTTTTTTTAACAGTCTTACTCTGTCACCCAGGCTAGAGTGCAGTGGCTCAATCTTGTCTCACTGCAACCTCACCTCCCAGTTCAAGCCATCCTCCTGCCTCAGGCTCCTTATTAGCTGGGGCAGCAGGCATGTGCCACCACGCCTGGCTACTTTTTGTCTTTTAATACTTTTTAGCAGAGACGACGTTTCACCATGCTGGCCAGGCTGTTCTCGAACTCATGACCTCAAGGGATTCACCCGCGTCGGCCTCCCAGAGTGCTGAGATTACAGGCGTCAGCCACCGCACCAGCCAAGGTCCAGAGATTTTAAAGGCAGCACTTGACAATATGTCAATGTCATCATCATAGTCACTGTCATTATAACCCTGTCATTATGGCCCTTTCCAATCCCCAGCACTGTGCAAACACAGCATGTACCTTACCGCCTTTGGGCTTCACCTTAAAAGGAAGATACTATGATTATTATTGTCCTGCAGAGGAACAAATGGAGGCAAAAGTATTAAGTCATTTGTCCAAAGTCACATAGCTGGGAAGGGAACATCAGGGTTTGAACCCTAATCTAAGTCCAAAGTCCACAAGTTTAACCATCACCTTCCACAACCTGCTTACAACTTATGCTGACCAGCCAAAAAATTATCTAGGGGCTCTGAAATCCTGCAAGCTCATCTCTAATGTGAGAGGAGCTTGTGGTGCCCACAGCCCAAAGGCCCAGTCCCTGAGTGGGCCTCTGGGGTGTCTCGCATCTAGAGAAAGCCTGCCTCTTCACACCTGTGAACCCAGACGATTTTCTCTTTCAAACACTCATTTTCCCAAACTACAACCTTCTTCACCTGGCCCCATGGATCAGGCCTTTCTGGCTGGAGGTCAAACATCTGCATGAATTCTTCTGGTCCATGTCCCAACTCTACGTCTCCACTCAGTGACAAAACACAATGAAATGCTCCCTATTTATATTCCACAGTGATTCTGGGTTGTCGTTGTCAGGCATAGGTTTGTCTCTCCATCCAGACTGGGAGTTCACATGAGCAGGAACCTCTTCTGAGTCATCTGAGTCCCCAGCACAGGGCTTCCCCAGAGGAAGGCTTTATGACTAAGTGAAGAATGAATGAATCAATGAATCAATGAATGAATGAGTCTAAGGGCAAAGGAAGAAATAAATGAGTGAATAAATAACCAAACTCCCAGGAATTCCCTCTGCTGGGTCTTTGGCCCTCCCAGACAGGACCACAGACTCTCTGGGGAGGAGGGACTTCTGACACCATCTATACCAACTTCCACTTTCAGTACTGCCCTAGCCAAAATCCTACATGGGCCAGAACCTACAGCTCCACACATACACACACCTAAGAGCCAGAGGGTCGTGCCATGATGGTGGCTCTGGGCTGCTCAGAACAAGGCTGCTCGTCTCTCTAGTCCTCCACTCAGCCCTGGCCTCCCTGTCCAGACTTCTTTCTTCTGATCCCCTCATGCTATGAATAGTACTGCCTACTGCTCCCTCACACCCCTGGAGCTCCCTTTGTTTCTGCTGTTCCCCCCACCCTGATGCTCTTTCAATAAGTCTATATCCAAACCCTGCCAGCCATCAAGGCCAACTCAAATGCCACTGCCTCCAGGAAGCCTTCTAGGCCCCTCCTAAGTGGAATTACATTCTCCCTCTACATGCCCCAATGCCTGTGTGTGCGTGTGTGCACACACACACATACACAGACACACACACTTAACAGCCCTTTCTCAGTGCATTTTCTCTTAAACTGGACTGATTTGCGCTAATTTCCCGTTTTTGACCTTGAGCTAGCTGGCATCAGAGATGGGACTGACTCATCAGAGTATTCTGGCCCCCTCCCCCAAACACTCAGGGCCTTGAATATAGATGCTCAGTAAGTGTCCAGAAAATGAATGACTGTGGAATTAACTGCAAAAGAATGGAGGAATGTATGAGAGAGTGAATGGAAGTAAAGGCATGCGTAAATGCACGCTCGTGAATGAGTGCACGCAAGAATGTCCTCATCCCCTCCTGTTCTCCACACTAAAAACTCCCAGTAACTCCTGCGAGGAACACCCCTTCTAGGGGCACCTTAGGCATGGCAAGACAGAATAAAGGAATTTGTGGGATAAATGCAGGGGAGGGGGTCGAAGGAAGGACAGAGGAAGGAGTTAGTGATAACAGCACTAACTTTGAGGAAGTGGAGGTGACCCG